TTGTGCTATCTTATCTTATCTTGTAGTAACTTATCTTGTCTTGTCTTATCTGGTGATTATCATTGAAAGGAGGGAGGCGCGAGCGGGAGGAAGGAGGAAGGAGGAGCAGTGGGAGGCGTCAGAGTAATAACAAGAACCCCAATCCTTAGGATATGGGGAATAATTAATAGAAGTAGTAGCATAGTAGTGGTAGCAGTGATCGTGGTCGTCGTAGTATTGGTCGTGCGAGCAGTAGTAGTAGTAGAAGTAGTAGTAGTAGTAGTAGTCGTAGTAGTAGTAGTAGTAGTAGTAGTCGTTGTCGTAGTAGTAGTAGTAGCAGCAGCAGTAGTAGCAGTAGTCGCTGTAGTAGTGGCAGTGTCAGTAGCAGCTGTAGTCGTAGCCGTAGTGATAGTAGTAGTAATAGTAGTAGTCGTAGAAGTAGTAGTAGTAGTAGTAGTAGTAGTCGTCGTCGTCGTATCTGTAGTAGTAGTCGTAGTTGTCGCCGTCGTCGTAGTAGTAGCAGTAGTTGTGGCAGTAATCAAATCAGTATTCGTAGTTGTCGTACCAGTAGTAGTCGAAGTCTGAGTAGTAGTCGTAGTAGTAGTAGTTGTAGCAATTACAGTAGCAGTTGACGCCGTACACGTAGGTACTGGTATCATGAGTAGTCGTAGTAGTAGAAGAAGAAGCAAGTGTAGTCGTAGTGGAAGTATTGGTAGTAGTAGTAGTAGTAGTAGTAGTAGTAGTAGTAGTAGTAGTGGTAGTAGTAGTAGTAGTAGTAGTAGTAGCAGCCGCATGTGTGGTAGAAGTGGTGGTCGTAGTCGTAAGAGTAATACCAGTGGCGGTAATCGTAGTACTAGGCGTAGTGGTAGTAGAAGTAGTGGTCGTAGAAATAGTAGCAGTAGTAGTGGTAGTAGTCGTCGTAGTAGTTATGGGGGTAGCCGTCGAAGTAGCAGTCGTAGTCGTAGTCGTAGTCGTAGTCGTAGTAGTAGTAGTAGTAGTAGTAGTAGTAGTAGTAGTAGCAGTAGTAGTAGTAGTAGCAGTAGTAGTAGAAGTAGTAGTATTGCTATTATTATTATTAGTAGTAGTAGTAGTAGTAGAAGAACTGGTAGCCGCAGCAGTAGTAGTACTAGTGGTGGTAGCCGTAGTCGGAGTAGTAGTTCGGCCAGGGTTGCAGTATGCGTATTGGTAGCAGTATTGGCCATAGTAGTACTAGTAGTAGTAGTAGTAGTAGTAGTAGTAGTAGTCGTCGTAGTAGTGCTAGTAGCAGTCGTAGTAGAAGTAGTAGTAGTGCTATTAGTAGTAGTAGTAGTAGTAGTAGTAGTCGTCGTAATAGTAGTAGTAGTAGTAGTAGTAGTAGTAGTGATAGTAGCAGCAGTAGTAGTAGTAGGAATGGTAGCCGTAGTCGTAGTAGTAGTAGTAGTAGTAGTAGTAGTAGTAGTCGTAGTCGTAGTAGTAGTAGAAGTAGTAGTCGCAGGCGTAGTAGTAGCAGGGGTAGTAGTAGTAGTAGTAGTAGTAGTAGAAGTAGTAGTAGTAGTAGTAGTAGTCGTAGTAGTAGTAGTAGTAGTAGTAGTCGTAGTAGTAGTAGTAGTAGTAGTAGTAGTAGTAGTCGTAGTAGTAGTAGTAGTAGTAGTAGGAGTAGTACTCGTAGTTCGTCGCCGTTGTCGTCGTAGTACAAGAAGTAGTGGTCGCAGCAGAAGTAGCTGTTGTTGTAATGTTCGTCGTAGTTCGGGTAGTAGTGTTAGACATTGTAGTAGCAGCCGTAGCAATAATAGTTGCAGTCGTAGTAGTAATCGTAGTAGCAGTAGCAGCCGTAGGAGTAGTCGTAGGAGCAGCATTTGTAATAATAGTAGTAGTCGTAGCAGTGGTAGTGTTAGTAGTCGTAGTAGCAGCAGTGGTAGTGGTAGTAGTAGTAGTAGTAGTAGTAGTAGTAGTAGTAGTAGTCGTAGTAATAAGGTAGTAGTAGCAGTAGTAGTAGTAGTAGTAGCAGAAATATTAGTACTGCACTAATGGTAGTAGTTGTCGCCGACGTACCCTCCGTAGAATTAGTCGGAGTCGTAGAAGTAGTAGTAACCGTCGTCGTAGTAGTAGCAGTAGTAGTAGCAACATAACTCGTAGGGGTGGTAGTTGTATGAATCGCAGCGGCCGCATCAGTACTGGCAGCAGTAGTAGTGGAAGTAGTAGTAGTAGTAGTGGAAGTAGTAGTAGTAGTAGTAGTAGTAGTAGTAGTAGTCGTAGTAGTCGTAGTAGTAGTAGTAGTAGTAGTAGTAGTAGTAGTAGTAGTAGTAGTAGTAGTAGTAGTGGTAGTGGTCTTAGTATGGTTGTTAGTCGTAGCCGTAGTCGTAGTAGTCGCAGTAGTAGTAGTAGTAGTAGTAGTAGTAGTAATAGTAGTAGTAGTAGTAGCAGTAACCGTTGTAGTAGCGGTACTGGTTGTAGGGGTATTAGTATTGGTAGTAGTAGTAGTAGTAGTAGTAGTAGTAGTAGTAGAAGTAGTAGTAGTAGTAGTCGTAGTAGTAGTAGGAGTAGTAGTCGTAGCAGCCGTGTCAGTAGTACGAGTAGTAGTAATATTGGCAGTAGCAACAGTCGTAATAGTAGTAGTAGCAGAATGAGACGTAGTCGTACTAGTAGTAGTAGTAGTAGTAGTCGTCGGAGTCGTAGTAGCAGCGCCAGTGGTAGTATTGGTATAAACCGTAGCCGTGGGATCAGTAGCGGTAGCATC